CGTTCATAATTAAAAAGGTAAAATTCAAAATTCATAATTCATTTATAGTTAGTTTTTATATAAAATGAGCTTATATACAAATAAAGTTTACAAATACGAAAAAATTCTTATGATGTACTTTTGCAAATTGCGCAGTTTAATATATAAAAGTTAAAATATAGTACAATAACTAATAAGTGGTCATGAATATATGTACACTACCGTAAGTACCGCACATTATTCGGACAATATTTTATACTGTATTCCAATTTTAAAAATTAAATAAATATCGCATACTGTTGTACACATTATTTAACACAAATGGTACGAATTAGAATAATTAACGTTTTTTTTATCGTAAATTTGTTATAATTGTATATTCTAAAATATAAATTAGTGAAACAATGTTTTATCGGACTATTTCCAACTATTCTTGAATCGTTAGAATATTTTTAAATGATATGATATTAGGACTTTACTTCAATAATTAAAATTTTAAATACGTATAATTACAATCAATATTATGCACAACAAAATAGTGTCAATTATGCTAATAAAGTATTATCTGTATTGACAACAATACGTATACGTAATATATTGCTTATTTAGCTTTTAAGGTTAGAATAAAATATAAAATATATTGTTTAAATAATTATAAGCGATATACTTGTTAGATCACTGTTGGTAAAGAATATCAATTCATTAGGCTGCAATCCATAACAATGCAAACATGTGTCCGCCTTGATTTAAAAAAAATAATAAAGATAAAAAGTATTAAACAACATCGAAATAACATAAATATCAAACATTTTAATAATATCAAGAAAAATAATATATCTTTTTTCTTTATTTAACATAAACTCTATATACATTTTTCATAAATTTTATATTATTTGGTTAAGAAATTCCTTTTTTATCTGATATTTTTCTTTAAGAAAAGAAACCTGAGTTTTTTCATCTTTAAATTAAAAGTTTTTTAGCTAATGATAGTACAAGTATATTAAAGTAATATAAAACAATAACACAATTGCTACTTTATAATATCCTAATTTTTTACATTAATAAAAAAAATAAAATTTATGAGTGCGCCCGAACTTCCATGATAATATATACGTGGTATTCACTTGCGCGATAACAAAAAAAAAATATTTCT